GGAATATCGAAGGAGAATTCTTAAGTGTGTGTGGTGCCTAATAGGAAAACATTTTTTATTATTGAATGACGGGCTCGAGAAACAGCAAAGTTTTCGAGTGATACTCGAAAAGGTCCTATTCAAATTAGGGATCAAGAAGAAGAAAATATTTTGAATATCATTGAAACTGAACCACTAGAAGTTTATCTCGACTTACAGGGATATCGTTAATACCGGGTATCTCATTATATTTTTTAAATACGTATTTGTTAATTTTTTTTTAATGGAACACCCCGTATATTTTTTAATGCTCCGAAAGCCAGTCCTTTTAGCTATCTGGCGATATAAAGTTTTTTGAAATCGATGAAGAAGTGACTGAACAATTAAATTTTCTGAAAAAGCTTGCAAAATCAATAATTAACAACAACAGTAGGTTTTAGTATGTTTGTAAGAAATGTCAAAATTGTTATTTCAACTCTTCTAAAAACTTAGACTAGGTTTCAAGTGATTCTTTTTACATTAAAATGTTATTTTCTGAAACAGAAAAGGCAAGTATCATAATTACTTTTGCTGAAACAAAATCTATTATGCGAACAAGACGAAGATTTTTTAAAGAATTTAATAAAACAGCAGCGAGATACAAGACAATAATGAAGTGGTTTAACAATTTCAAAAATAATGGTTCACTAGCCCGAAAAAACTAAATATCGGCAATGATAATCTTTTATATGATACCATTGGTGTATACGAGTTTGTTACTAGATCGCCCAAATCATCTATCAGAAAAATAGCGTCATATTTTAATATGAGTAGATCCAAAGTTCATAGAATCTTACAAGCACTGAAACTAAAACCTTACAAAATTCAATTACACAAAAAATTATACGAGAGAGACAAAGAAAAACGTCTGTATATGTGTGAGACGTTATTGGACTTGATAAGAAACAATCCTGAGCTCCTGAAAAAAATTTTGTTTTCTTATCGGTCACCACGCTCAAAAAGTGTAACTTGAATTAATATCAAAGAAAAAAAAATACTGCATAAATTAAATAAATAAATAATTATAATTGCATAAGTTGATAAAAAATGCTATGCAATAGCTTTACCGTGGCAGTCCCCGAGTGCCACACGTATTTTTTATTTGGGGATATGTTAAAGCTTTAGCTTAGAATCCTGCACCTCAAAATTTAGAAGAGCTAAAAGATAATATACGTCTAGCATTTGAAAGAATTACTCCCAACATGTTAGAAAAAGCATATACAAATTTATTAATACGTTTACACAATTGTGTTAATGTAAATGGAGGACATATAGGACATTTAAATTATTCTTAAATTGTTTAATAAAAGTTTGTTAAAATGTTAAATAAGTTAATTAAGCTATACTAGAATATCATTAATAAGCAATAATTATTGTTGACTATTGATTTTGAATACATTTTCACAAAAATTATTGATAAGAATTATTGTTAAGTATTGATTTTGCAGGCTTTTTCAGAAAATTTAATTGTTCAGTCATTTCTTCATCGATTTCAAAAAACTTTATATCGCTAGATAACTAAAAGGACTAGCTTTAGGAGCATAAAAAAATATACAGGGTATTCCATTAAAAAAAAATCAAATACGTCTTTAAAAAACCGCCATTTTGTTTTTCAGTAAACCGGAAGTGCTAAATAATTTTGGATTGACCGAAATAAAACTTCAAAATGTTGGGTCGATGACTAGTATGGCTAAATTTTCATGGATACATCGAGTAACATATTGTACAACAGTAATCCGTCGCCGCGTCAAAGCAATGCCAGAAACGTATACGTAAACGTATCTAATGACAGCTACGCATGAGCAACAGTTATTTTCCATACGTATCTATTTACGTCTGACGTAAAAGCATTCGTATTGAGCCGAGCAAATACTTTGAGAGCATCCGATTAATAAAACTAATGACAGATATTAACTTATAATGTCAAATTCTGAACCATGATATGAAATAAGATTCATTTGTAATTTATATATGCACAAAAACTATTTCAGAAAACAACTGCTAGAATCATTTGTTATCATATCAAAAGAGTCCTAACAAGTCTAATCTAATAAAAAAAACCTTTATTTTCCAAATTTTTTACATCATTTAGAATTTGTAACGTTACAGCATCATCTACTGTGATGATCGTCGTCATTAAAACCCCCTAAAATCAAAATTTTCTATAAACCTAACAATACTTTTCTCAAAAAGTACCTACGGTAATAAAGTTGTAGATACGTTAACGTTTTTGCTTTAACTATCATTTTCTTTCAGATTACAGGTTAAATGTATCGTTAATTTCTACGTTTATGTCAGAGAGATACGTATACGTTTATAGCGTTGCTTTAACTCTCTAATAGAGAGATCGGGCAGCAGATATTTTTTTCTTAACCATCCTCCCGAGTCCTACCGCTTGCAGAGTCCTACCGCTTTCCGAGTCCCTCACATGTTGCGTTTACGCGTTTGAAATAATTGGGGAGTACCTTTTAAAGTTGATTTTGTTTCGTACAATTTTATTTTCTAATTGTTGGGTTTATATAAAATTTTCATTGGAACCTCCAACCTTGAGGTGTTCAGTATTTTGCTTTTTTTTTCAGTAGGGTTAACTTTCGATGCCCTTATGAGGATTGTTTTACCGAAACTCAATTCGAGATTCTTCTACTTTCTACAAATTTAGATTTTAAAATTGTTAGTAAATGAATGAATCAAGAACTATACAAATACTGAACATATAATTTGGCTCCGTACGCTTTAGGTACCTCGAAATTTAGAAAAATTGATTACACTAATAGTATGAGAGCCCACTGCTAATTTCGACCGTCATCTGATAACGAAATGAAATATGCTCTAAAGGCATGTAACAACATTGTACTTTACCAAATTGCACCTGTGCCAATCCCTATCCTGAGCAAAGTGGTTAAAAAAAAATTATTTTATATTCAAAAAATAACATAAGACATGATAACGACAATTGTGTTTTCCCTGAAAATTACAATCCTAATTCATTGTGAAACTAGCTTTTAAACCTGAATTATTAATATTTTTACCTACCTTTTAAACCATGTTTATGTATGAAAGGAAGAAGGATGGCATTGTATAAACCATTTGCAGAGATAGTCAATAATAATTATAAACTCTTGTTAGACAATAATTTTAAACCATAATCATAGTAGTTTTTTTGTCGTTTCTATGGCAACCTGTAAAAATGAATCACAACAATAAGCATACAAATAAATTTTTAAATCAGCAAACATTGATTCACATTTTTAATGATTTTTACCTACTAATCATGGATAGATATTTTTGTGCAATGTTAAGAGGAAGAAAATGTTTCTCTTAAACGATATATATCAAGATATATTTGAATGTTATTTTCTGGAAAACTTTAAGGGCAAACAAAATTAGCGCTATCATGCCTTATGTGATTTTTTTAATATAAAATAATTTTTTTAAGCCACTTTGCTCAGGATTGGGTTTGGCAGAGGCGTCATTTGGTAAAGTACAATGTTTTTCCATGCTTTTGGGGTATATTTCATTTCGTTATCAGATGACGGTAAAAATTTGCAGTGGGCTCTTGGACTATAAAAAGTACCCATTACATATTGTATACTTCTAAAAAAAGGATAAGAAAATTTTATCAAATTTACAATTTTATAGGCTATATCGTAATTTTTTTCACAATTAAAGAATGGGTAATATCAATATTTACGTATTTTATCTTGTAACTAACTGAAATTCATTTATAAAGATTTTCCTTGCCCTAATTAATTAATTAATTTTACGATATAAAAATATTTCAGTCTTGTTAATATTCACATATTTTATGTAGTATAAGGTGTAAAGTACTGAAACTCTTGGCAAAACTGTAAGAAAATGATAAAATGTTAGGTTAGTTTCATCAAAATCTTAACTTTTCTTAGAAAATATTCCGTTATCAGCATTTTTTTAGAAATTTATTCTATAGAATGGGTACTTTTTGTTTAAATTAATTTTTCAAATTCCGTCGTACCTAAAGCGTACCGGACTCTATTGTTTACTTATAAGTATACCAGTATAGGTACCTTGCTTACAAAAGTGAGAAACGAAGATACTTTTATTTTCTTTTATTATTTATTTCTATAAAATCGATACATAAACTAGCTTGCACACAGACATTATAATGCATCAGTGAGTTATCAATGTCTAATTTTTTCTGTATTTATACTAGGTATTCATTTGAATAATTATTAAACTTCGTATTTATACTTGTAACTATTCCTATTTATTTATATTTTCTTGAATATATATTATTAATATTATTATTATTATTATTATTATTATATCATCTTTCTGTTCAACATAACCTATTTTCAACTGCTACGACAATAATAAGAAATATAAATAAGAAAGATGTGCCACCCTCCACCCATCACATTTATTGCAAAATTCTCTACCCGATCGATAGATAGATAATAAATATAATTTTATATACCCGGTCTTGAACATCATCCCTTGCGTTAAGGGTGGCTAATGAATTGATTGGAATTGGTAAATTAATTCTTATATATTATTTATTGCGTCTAGTCCATAGTTGTGTTATGTCTTTTTGCACTTCAAAAACAGTTCTGCAAATGTACAGAATCTAACGTTGGAAATTTTGTAACCAACGTTAAATTATGTAATTTTCAAAATTACAACATTTAATATGCAATAATTTATAATATATAGATAGACAGAAAAAGTTTCGTATGGCTGTAAGGGTAGGTTACCTGCAAACCACCCCTTGAAATTTTTTAAATAATTCTTACCCCTAAATTAAGATTTATTAAGTTAGAGGGTTGCAAAGATATTACATTTTTTGAAATTATGGTCCCACTTTGGGCCTCCGTACCTTCTTAGGGGTAGGTACAACTTGAAATAGAAGTTGCCTTAAATCATATTTAGCCTAACACACATCTGTTCAATATCAGAGTTATGCAAAACGTTGAACATTACCATATAAAAAAAAATTATAAACTTACGTGGGCCCATGTAAATTGTGTTTTCCGCTATCCTTCTAAAATATTTTTTGACATCAATTTTAGGTAAAATTTTCAAATGATACGGAGATATTTTGTAAAATATCATATTTCTCATACGGTACAGGTTTCCGAACTCTGGATGATCGCCACCCATCGCTATTCAGTAAATTATTCTTTCTCCTAATCTGAAATTAAAATCTAAATGACTTTGAAAAATATAGGTGACGTTTGTGAATTCAAATCCTCCACACATATCATGCTAGACATTATGAGGTGCCTTGAAACTAATTACTTGGTGACTGTAATAGTAGTAATACCAGTAAAGGAACATTCTTAATAAGATAAAAGAATAGGTTATAACATAACATACAAAATATTTTTAAACAGAAAAACCAAAGTTAATCATTAAAATATGGTGTAATACAATTAAGATGAGGCACCATCTTTAGGGGGACCTTAGTAGAATAAGAGAACTCTGACGGTTATCGACATGATTTATAGGTTGCGTTTGGAATTATTATCCTACCATTTAAAATGGTTTACTATTGTTTAAAATGGCATTCATCCTGAGTAAACTGCTTTAAGAACTAAAGTCTGGTCTGATGTAGGATTCTCATGTTTCGATACGTCTCGTATCGAGACGCCTATCTTTCTATTCGATACGTAACTGTAATATAAACTACTTTAAAGTTAAAATATTCAAAAATTAAAAAAAGAATAAATCATATTTAATATTAAAATTTAACTTATTTTTAAAACCCTCGTATCTAAACCCAGCTGCTCATCTAAATATCATCACTCAACAACGTAACCAAATTCAACCAGACGATCATTACTCGACTGTAAGTTAATATCACACATTCTATATTCTTTTTGTCATTTTATTAACTCGTTTTAGTGTAATTATTTTTTTAAATACTACAATATATTTAAACAACAGCTTATCGATAATCGAAATAATTTTATAATAAATCTGAAAAGCACGTGACTTGGCTCTTCTTCTTTCCACTCACTTCAATTATACCACTGATTCTTTCAACAATAATGATCTATAATTGAAAAAAAAGTAATCTTAATGTTGTTTCGACTTTTAAACTCATCCAGACATCTCCTTTGATACCCCAAACATGTCGCGACACTTTGATGTTTCATTTTCCACCTTCCATTAAGTAGTTGAAAGAATAAGAGCTTTTGCTTCGGGTTTTTTTTAGGTATTTAAAAGGGAACAAACCTCTTGGGACTTGTTTCATCTAAAATGTATTAGGTGCGATGTAATTTGATTTTTCGAATTTGATTTGGTTATGTTAAATTTTGTCAGCACTTTCTCTCTATCGTCTTCGGATTTTTGTTTGATAAAGGAAAGGCACTTAATTTAAAAAAAATATGTCTAAATTGCCTTTTTTTCTTACTACTTCTTTATTCTGGGAGGCCAAAATTATAAAAACTCTTTTTCCCGTAGTTTTATAATTCAGAAGAAGATATTCAAGAATCTGATCAAAAAGAAAGATGAATGTGATTTATATTTGTTTAAAACGCATTTAAAGTGTATAGCGATGAAAAGATAAGTTAATTATATTTCTACGATTTTTTTTTCTTAAAATGACAACAATATTTTTTAAATGTTGCCTTTCTTGTAAAAAAACTTTCGAGCATATATTACTACAGTTATCGTCCAAATGGACTTTGTTTTGGTACAAGGGGAAAAAATAGTATCCAGCATTCCCATTGGTCTGTTTCGTTTTGCTTGGTATGTCAAATCATTCGAAATTGTCAGAACTGTCATTTGATTTTTGATTTTCATTAAATTCTAGCTTATTTATGCAGTTTATAAGTGATTTCTTGTATTTTATTACTTTAAGGTTTGTTTCAACACAATAGCAAATCGGTTTACGTACTGTCGGGATTCTGCGCAGTCTAGATTTGGTGTTCCAACAAACCTCGGACTCAAAACTGTGCAATATTCTAGTGTTCCAACATACTCAACCCTAATCACAAACCAGTTTCTGTACTGTCAAATCAGTTCCTGGGTCTGAATAGGAACGAATAGTCAAGACATGCGCAAAACGAAAGTAAGCTCGTAAATCTGACTTAGATACAGTAAAAAATAAAATAAATTAATGTACTAACCAATCAAATAATCAAAATTTATAAATCTTTTAACGAGTTTTATAATTTTTTTATTTACCAAATTCTAAATTTAACATCTGTTAATGTTTTCTTTTACTTTTACGTTATTGACAGTGTGTGTGACAACAGAAACATGTGTTCCAACACAACCAAGTTCCGAATTCAGTCCCAATCATAGACAGGTCGTGGACTGGTCGTCGACTATCAGTCGTCGACAATAAGTTGTAAACTGGTTTGTGTATGGTTCCAAGATTGTTGTTGGAACAAACCTTTTTAGTAATACAAATTTTAACAATAGTGAAAGTTTGTGCAAGTTTTCAATCGAAATATTAAAAGGCATCGTGAGAAGGGACGTAGGTACCTATAGTGTGATAATTTCATTTTAAAAACTATAATAAATTAAAAATTAATTAATATAATAATGTTCTAGGCAATATTCAGTTGTAGATGTAGATTAGAAGAAATCTTCAGCAATATCAACATCACCAGTGAGTGTATACAAAAAACATATCCGTACTCTAGAAAATTGTGATTTTAATTTGCAGATAAAAGCAGGGAACTTTTTAATGTAAAACTGGATACAGATTTATTCCTGATTGTAATAAATTTCTACTGTACACATTTTAAATATTTAAATGTTTTTTTTTTGTTAAAGTATTTTTATGCTTCTTCGAAAACCATAATCTCAAATTATTTTATTAAAACGTCTATTGATTTGAAAAAATCCGAATAAAAATGGGGGGATTAGGGGGGGTTGACATATTGAAAAAGATAATGGCTCAGAAACGAAAAATAATAATTTGAAATTTTAAGCAAAGAACAAGCTCTATAAGGGGACAAAGTCTGGTGATTAAAAAAAAAAATTGTTAACAAAATGGGGGTTAAAATAAAAAAATATAAATCAAACACCAAAAGCGATATCAACATGAAATTCTTAGTAAAAATCAAGCTCTATGAGTACTTCCGTTTTATGATTTCTTGAATATTTATTGTTATATATTGAATCCAAATAAACCCAATTACAGAAAAATTACTCGTCATTGCTGTAAAAAACCGGGTTTTATTAAAAATTGCAGAATAAGAATTAAAAAAAAAGAAGTCCTGAAAGAAATAGCTATAAGAATGTATTCATTAGTGTTTATGCAACAATAATTTTCTTGACCAAGAATGTTGGTACCTAGACAGTGGTGCTAGTGAACACGTGACTTGGCAGGAAGATAGGTTTGAAGAAACTGATCCCATAAAAAAACAGTTAAAATTGGCGATGGAACTTTATTGAAAGCTGTGGGAATTGGAAATATCAATGTATTAATGGAAATTAACTCAAAAAATGTTCCAACTGTGTTAAACAATGTTTTATTGGTCTCAAAACTCCAGTTAAATCTTTTTTCTGTTGCAAGCGCTTTAGATAAAGGCTACAAGTTAAGTGGACATTCAGAATAATGTCATTTTGAACTAAATGCCAAGGTTCTCGCAATTAGGCATTCCAAACAAATGAATTACCAGTGGGCAGGTTTGGTATATCTAATGGTGGCGACATATGATGTATTCTATCTACTTTACGTAAAATCATGAATAATGGATTACATTTAAATATTTTATGTCAAACACAATAAAAATAATATTTAAAAAACCCACCTATACATTTCTTCATAAATTGGCAGGCTTGGCGAGTACTACTTCGAATAAAAATAGCGTCCAAGTTGCAAGACTATGTCACTACCCCCCTAAATATACAAGAATTTCCCACTGGCACCTATTGTTTGACAGGTCGTTGGAATGCCTAATTAGGCATTCCAAACTGAATGGCTACCAGTGGGTTTTGACGGGTTATGATATGGCAAAATTATGGCAACCCTGTAGGCCTGGTGATTTGACAAGGTCAATGAAATAGATAGTTACATAGATTGATCATCCATATTTTTCAAAATAAACATAAGCTTATGCCTTGAAGTAAAAATGTAAGCAATTATTTTTTTTTAAATATCTAAAGGCTAAAAATTGGTTTTAAAATACTTTTTTTTCTACACCCGTATTATAATAATGCACTTATATGCCCATAATCCGTTTCATAATGATACCCATTATGATACAGATTTTTCATTACGATACAGATTTTTCATTACGATACAGATTTTTCATTACGATACAGATTTTTAATCAATAGAAACCTACAATTTTTCAATCAAGCATGCTGTTTGACGTTTGTCCTAGGTTCCTATGTATTTGTTTTAGTTGTCAAAACGTATTAAATTTTGGTAGATAACTAAACTTCGTTAATTATAATATTAAAATGTCTGATATCAGCGATATAGAAGACTCCTCCACACATATCGGAGAAAGCAGAAAATACAGTACAAAATATTTTGCCGAAAAAATCTAGGGAAATACCAATACCCGAAGTAATACCATTAATTACAATTTTGTAGAATTTTTTATAGAAATACACGAGTAATTATTGATATTGTGTTCAATACCAATATGAATATAATATTTATAGTTCTTGATTATTTATCGGGTGTAGAAAAAATAGCGTATGCAACTCTCATGTAATGGTTATTAATACACTCGCATAAACCATACGAAACTCGCCTTTGGCTCGTTTCGTATCCCGGTTAATGCTCGTGTATTAATAACCATCATTACATGATCGTTGCATAATATACTATTGCTAAACCGATTTAAATTAATAAATATTTGCCAGGCAATATCTTCGAGCATATATATGCTCGAAGGCAATATGGCCGCTCGTAAAGGACCAGCTTTGAGCAATCTATATAACTATATATGTATCACTGACCCTATTAATGACAACATGACAACAGGGTTGCCATATCTAAACTGTCATTACCCACTGGTAGCCATTTGGACAGGTTGTTGGAATGCCTAATAGCAGAACGACACGACAAAGTTTTCAATATGAAGCTAAAAATTGACTATGCAAATAATTCTTTAGCCAGTTTATCAGAGTTAAATGTTAATTGTATTGCAAAAGAGCCTTTAAAAAATTCATTAAAATTAATGTCA